AAGGTCGGCAGGGCGGGGTGGGGGGTGGGGGGGGGGGGGATGAACCCTAAACCCTAAACCCTAAACCCTAAACCTTAAACCCTAAACCTTAAACCTTATTTCCTGTTAAGAACACTAGGGCTGTAAGAGTTGAGGGCTTAACCTGACACCCTTTAAGGTTCATAGGCGATGGGTGTATAGAGTGTAGGGTTTAGGGTTTAGAGTTTAGAGTTTAGGGTTTAGGGTCACGGCCTGCCTTGCCCTCAGATAGTTGGGGTTTCGGGCTCAGGGGGGGGGTGTGCCCGGAGCGTCCAAATCCTGAAGTTCCGAAGACTTCAGACGCACGGCTGACCTCAAGCTGCATGTGCAAGAACCAAAAGCAACTACTCCTATGAACCCCTTGAGTCTAAGCTGCCCGAAAGGGGGGTTTTCGAAATTAGGGGTACTTTATTGGGGGGGGGGGGGGGTGGGGGTCCTCACTATAAGGGAATCCTACTATTGGGGGGATCTATATTGGGGGTCCCCAATTTCTCTATCAAACATAAGTCACTTCCCCCCCCCCCCGCAGTTTGGCAAAAACCTCTCAAGCCAGGGCCCCCCCAGGAGCGCTGTGCCATGTTCTAAGGGAACAGGCCCTAAACCCTAAACCTAAACCCTAAACCCTATAAACCCTGAACCCTAAACCCTAAACCCTACACCCTAACTTTTGCCAGGGGACCCACTCAACTCCGCTGCCACCGCCTGACCTCATCGCAGAATCAAGGCCTAAACCCCCTGGCGCCTCCGAGTCTAAGGTTAGGACCAAGGGCCTTGAGGATTGTCCCTTACCCTCGTTTATACCCAAAGACTCCAATGTAGTTCCTTTTTGGGTTAGTTATAGGGGATTTTAGTATGCTACCTCAAAAAGGTACTACATAGGAGCCTTTGGGTAGGCATCCGAAGTATGGGCCCTTACATGGGCCTTCAAGCGGGGAACCCTTAACAAAAAACCTACAAGACCAAGGGGCCCATATTTCGGAACCCTTGAGAGAGTCAGGTATGTGGGAATTGGCTTTCGGACTTCGTGCTTCTGCGGGAGATCGCTGGAGGGTTCTTCAGTGGATGGAAGCGAAGGCGTGCAAAGTGCTCTGTGTGGAACTTGGTTTTTGGATCTGTTCTGACCTTAAACCCAGAACCCTGCACCCTAAACTGCTCAACCCTGAAGAACCACCACGGGCACACTAGACCCCTAGACCCTAGACCCTAAACCCCAAACCCTAAACCCTACACCCTAAACCCTAAACCCTAAACCCTAGGTGTCCGGCAATCTCCGCCGCATGCGGGGTCTCCCCAAGCGACGACTTCACCCTGCTTAGGATGGGAGGTTCATGGTACTTATGAACCCATTATAACAGGGTTTAGGGTTTGGGGTTTGGGGTTTAATGTTGGACCCTGTTTAGTAGGGGCCTCCTCTTTAAAGTCAATTTGGCCGAATTATTCAGGACCCCCTGACTGTTTGCGGGGTCCTCTTTAAAGTCAAACCGTCCGGGCGCCGTAAGAAAATTCCACGTGGCGCGCCTTTAAAAAAGATAACCGGGCATCGCTGCCCCTTTTAAACCTATCTAAACTCCTCCCTATTAAAGTCATATAAGCCCCCGGGGCCGTGTAATCAGGATCCCATCCACGCCTCGACTGTTCAAATAAGAAAGGGCCCTCCAGATTAAAGAGGGTCCCACATTAGGGTTTAGGGTTTAGGGGTACTTATTAACCAATGATAACCGTACTTATAACCCACTTATAAGCCCCTTAAGTGCCCTAATATGGATCGAAGTGCAGTTACAAGTACAGTTCTAATTGGCTAATAAGTACCGCGAGCCTCCAAGTAGGATGTAGGGTTGACAGGTGGTACAGGGCCGGCTCAGGGCACTGGAACCCTCAACCCCAAAGCCTAAACCCCAAAACCCCAAACCCCAAATCCCAAACCAGCTAAAGCCTAAACCCTAAACCCAAAAACTAGAGGCTTGTGGGCTGGGCCCAGCCCACAAACTCGCAGGGGTCAAGAAGCATCCCCATTAAAAGTCCTTGCAGCGCCAGAGCACCTTGAAATAACGAACCGCTTGAGCAAGGGGCGCTTTTCGGGATACCTTGAGGGTTTAGGGTTTAGGCTTTAGGGGTTCAGGGTTCAGGGTTCAGGGTTTAGGGTTTAGGGTTTAGGGTTTAGGGTTTAGGGTTTAGGGTTTAGGGCTGGTGCGCTCCTACCAAAAAAAGCAAGCCCGTGCCTTCTCAGTGACGGCGGCGAAGGCCGAAGTCGAGGCAAAGAGCTGGTGGACATTTTCCAGCCTCCCACCCCGAGGTTGCTGGCCAATTCTGTGGCTCCATGGGGTTTAGGGTTTAGGGTTTAGGGTTTAGGGTTTAGGGTTTAGGGTTTAGGGTTTAGGGTTTAGGGGAGCCTTTAGTTGCAGGAATCCTACGAACAGAAGTAGCTACAAGGAGACCGTGCTTTTTATAGCAACCTCACGTCAGCACCACTACAGAAGCACTCCTAGACCCCAAGCCCTCTCACTGCAACCCTAAACCCTAAACCCTAAACCCTAAACCCTAAACCCTAAACCCTAAACCCTAAACCCTAAACCCTAAACCCTAAACCCTAAACCCTAAACCCTGCCAGCCATGGTGCCCTTCAGCATGAGAGCAGTCGCCCCCACATTGAGGATGACCCCAGGCAGCGACGGCCCCTGGCCAAGCTGATGCCAATGGTCCGCACCATGTGGGGTTTAGGGTTTAGGGTTTAGGGGTTTAGGGTTTAGGGTTCAAGGTTTAGGGCTTAGGGTTTAATTAGGGCTTAGGGCTTAGGGTTTAGGATCTTTGTGGGGAGTCGTGCCATACTAGAGAAGGGACCCCAAAAGGGACCCGAAACTGGAGCGCTACCCATATGGAGAAGCAAGAGGTCCACGTTCGATGGCCGCAGGACCGCAGGGCGCAGCACACGAGGAAGGGACAATATGATAATTAGAATAGGGTTTTGGGGGGTTATTATAGTAAAACTATAAAAGGGGCCATAAGGGAATATGATTCGTAATTCGTCCGACCCCTATATTAGCAGTGTCAGTGTGAGGGGGCGGGGTGAACTGGTGAACTTCAAGGAGCGCAAAGTGCAAGACAGAGAGCGGGAGCGCAAGTGAGAGAGCGAGCGACAGACAGAGAGCGAGTGCAGGAACGGAAGAAGCAGAAACACAGAGAGAGGGGGACAGAGAGAGAGGGAGGGAAGGAGAGAGGCAGAGAGAGAGGGAGACAGGAAGACAGTGACAGAGAGACAGAGACAAGAGACAAGAGACAAGAGACAAGAGACAAGAGACAAGAGACAAGAGACAAGAGACAAGAGACAAGAGACAAGAGACAAGAGACAAGAGACAAGAGACAAGAGACAAGAGACAAGAGACCAGGGACAAGGGACAAGAGAGACAAGAGACAAGAGCTGTCAATGCATGCGATCTACACACAGCCGCGCCAAAAGCCTGTGTCCCGTAGTGCTGCGAAGGCCCCACTGCGACGCGAGGAGCAAAGCACAGTGCCTTTCGGGCTTTGAGGGTTCAAAGGGTCTAATTAGGGTTCAGGGTTTAGGGTTTAGAATTTAGGGTTTAGGGTTTAGGGTTTGGGATTTAGGGTTTTGGGTGTCCCTTGGGCTCAGGTGATTGATGACAGGGCATTCGAATCTCATGATTTTGTTCATCTTCGAAGCAGAGTCGCATGTCACAATTCTCACCTCTCTTTACAGCGTGCTGAGTTCTGCTCCTGGCTTTCTCACGACGGCACTGACGACGTCCCCATCCCTGATGCCGACTTCCTGCGAATGCAATCGAAAGAGCCAGAGAAGTCTCGACAGAACAGTCTAAACCCTAAACCCAAAACCCTACACCCTCAACCCGTAGGAATTCGCCTCAAGCAGCCTTGGCCTCAAGCAACCGAGCGAGCAACCCGTCAGTCAAGTGGCAGCTCTTGTGCAAATCCGACACCCTAAACCCTAAACCCTGAACATCCCTAAAACCTAAACCCTAAACCTTAAACCCTAAACCCATACAGCCCTCCAGCAGGGCGTCCTGGAGTTTCAAGCTGCCAGGAAGCCTGCGGCCTACAGGGGCTTGGGAAACTAACTTCGCGGGGCTGATTGGGTTTAGGGTTCAGAGGGTTCAGGGTTCAGGGTTTAGGGTCATAGGGTTTATAGGGTTTAGGGTCCAGGGTTTATAGGGTTTAGGGGTTATAGGGTTTAGGTTTTATAGGGTTTAGGGGTCATGGGGTTTAGGGCTTGGGGATTTTGCTTTGCATGAATGCCGCCAAGTCAGAGCAGAGCGGCCTTATCTCAATGGGCAAAGATAAACTAGTCAGACAAACCTACTTAGGAATGGAGTCTGAGTGTTTTGTTGGAAATTTGAGCCGAAAAGCCTTTGTGTTCAGCCTGTAGCTGTAGCTGCTCAGAAACCTTGTGAACGTGGAGTTTGGGAGATTCGGCTTCCAAGCGCACAGCCTGCTTTTTGCAATCTGCGCCTGAGGAACATGTCTTGCATCGGTCGAGGAGCACATGTACTCCTGAAACCTTCTCTCGATCTGACTATACCCTAAAACCTAAACCCTAAATCATAAACTTCTGCCAGAGCTGAGTCAGCTTCAGGCTTAGACTGTAGAGCGCGACCCAGACTTTCAGGAGTGCATGCCTGCTACAACCCTCATCTGCAGGCGCTAGGTGCAGCAGGTAAATGTAAGCTAGCCGTGCCCGGGTGCTTTGCCCGGTACATGCGCATGAAGCTACGATACTCCCCTTAGAACCTTAATTTAAAACAACTAATCATTAATCCATTTTGATATTCCGTTTGGGCTTTTATATAGATAACAATGAAAAAATGATTCCTAAGGGGGCTATAGGATACATCAAGCCTCTGAAGAAGCTTGGCATCCGCACGTTGTTGAATGTACATTTTGCGCAGGGAAGGCTTGCATCTAAACAAACGGCGACTCACGGGGTCTCTTGAAGGCTCAGAGAAGTGGCATCAAGATCCACCGTCCCTGGGCCCTCTGCAGATACCTTTCGAAGGTTTACAACTTACGGTTTAGGGATGTAGAGCAAGCTCAGGGTGAAGATTTCGCAGGCAGATACGGAGAGCGAAGGCAAGGGAGGGCGATGAGATGCGAGGAGGAAAAGGAGAGAGGAAGAGAGGCTCCGATAGAGAGAGAGAGAGAGAGGGAGAGTGAGAGCGACTGCAAGAGTTCGAAACCAGCAGGTTCGTGAAAAGAAGCAGACGTCGTCCCTTGATCCACGACACCTTCTGCAGCTTGGGTGATGGATTTCAAGAGGAGCGTGCCACGTCCATCAGCTGTCACCGCGACCTGCGAAGAAAGAATCTCCGCTGCTGCAGCCATGGAGACAGTCTTTGCTGATCCAACTTCTGGTCGGGGCTTGTGTAGGGTTCGGGGTGTAGGGTCTAGGGTTTAGGGCTTATGGTGTAGGGTTTAGGGTTTACGGGTTTCAGGGCCCGAACCAAGCAAGCAGTGAAGTGTGCACCTGGAAGCCCTTGATGCGCGATGGATTCACTGAAAGATCCTCGGCCGACGACAATATGGCTGTGCGCGCATGCTCACCACACACGCACACACACACCACCCCTGACACACATCCTTGTCGCGGCAGATTGTTTCAAAACCTTGTCGCACGGCCTTCCTATGGGTACTTCCCCAAACAGGGGTACCCCTTTCATACCCTAATTAAAATAGAATCGCTTAAAGGGCCCCCCCGCACAGGGTACCCCTATTTTCGGAAAGCCCCATATGGCTTTGCGTACTATTTCGCAGGGCAGGGGGCCCAGCCATGCAAGCTTCTTGGTAGAACCCTAAACCCTAAACTTGAAACCCTAAACCCTAAACCCTAAACCCCAAACCCCAAACCCCAAACCCCAAACCCCAAACCCCAAACCCCAAACCCTTCCCGTTCTGAGATGCATGAAGGTCATGGAACATGTCATGACGTGGTTTCCTGCTGTCCTGGAAGGCCCTTCAGATGGACCATCAGAACCGAAAGTTTAGGATTTAGGGCTTAGGGTTCAGTAAGTTTAGGGTTTAGGGTTCAGGGTTTAGTAAGTTTAGGGTTTAGGGTTTAGGGTTTAGGGTTTAGGGTTTAGGGTTTAGGGCTAGAGAAGCGTGT